TTACATCACTTATCTGAATCGACTGTGTTACCAATTGCATCTATTCAATTTTACTATGAAATATTAATGTTATCTCGATTGCCCATTAGTAAAGTTATACAAGACCCGATGGATGAAGAAAAACTTTTACTTTTCAGAGCTTCAAAGCCGGAGAAAGTGCATTTATTTTAAACGCTCGCTTTCACAACAAGCACAACACAGTAAAGAAGGATGTAATATATATATAAATATAACAATATAAAGTATATGTATATAAAATTCTTATTTTTTACACCTTACAAATTCGAAGAAAACACTCGTTTTTTCCCCCTCTAACCTCATACATTTTAACTAAGTCAATAAAAGAAGGAACATCTTTGTACTGTTTTCTCGTGTCAAAGCCATACCAGATGTCTGTAAAAGTAATGTACAGTACACTGGCTTTAAGAGATAAACTCATAAAAGGTACTACATACACTTGGCATTTTAAAATTATCAAGGCGTAAGAATATTAAAAGAACAAAAAAGAAATGTAAATAAATTTATTATTATTATTATTAAATAACAGAAGCAAAATAACCCCGTAAAGGAGTCTTGGTAAAAGTATAACGCAGAACATTCGTCTTTTCGATTCTCCCGGATCAATATATAGGAGGGTATGGTGAGTAAACACATTGGTCGTTATCATTTGGCCTATTTTGACAGGCTGGTGACTTCCATTTTCTCAAAGAGAAGCATGATTAACCATAACTGAGAAATCTTAGTTCGTTCCACGTGTCGTTTTTTTTTTTTCTTCTTCTTCTTCTTCTTCTTCTTAAAATACCTTGTATACGAGTTATAAAAATTTTTACTACCTCCCAGTTCGTTTGAGTTAAAAATTCCAGTTAATTTATGAATAAAATATACGCTTTAACCTTTCAAAACTCGTGCCAATAACACTAGAAATATACATAGAAATGGTTCTTTGTATTCAATGTTTTATTCTTAAAGAAACAGCCGAAGAGTTCGCGTGTTATGTTACGATATTTTTCGTTTTTTTCAACGTTTTTTTACCGACCAAATCGAGCGTTAAGAAAAGTTTCGAATGAAAAGTGAAACAGAAAAACTTTTAATAATTATTCACTTTCTATAAATGTTGGCAAGTTTCCTTTTCCATTATTTTTTTCCCCTCTACTTTCAATTAAATTACAACCTCGTAGCAATTGGTCAAGCTAAACTTTGGCCATTATCCATTCTTTATTATATTTTTTAAAATAAAAATAAAACAGCCTAAACGAAAGGATAATTAATATTATATAACGGAAGGATCGGACGTTCCTTCGTCAGACAGTTCTGAACTTCAATAATTCAACTTCCTCTCCATCCTCCCTCTTTAAAACTATCGACATTGATAAATACTAACTTTACAAATTGGAATTTAAATTAATACGAAAACTTACAATATAAATTGACAAAATATTTTTAATTTAATTAAGAAAACTAATTAGGAAATTAATTTTTCGTAACGAAAATATTTTTAATAATTTTACTTAAAAAAAACACACACACACACAACTCGTCGATTAATTAATTAAAAATGAATTTATAAATCGAATCGGCACGTTAATTTGTATTAATATACGTGTTTTCTGACGTCGAATTCCTTTCTATATTTATTTTGTTGCCGTATATCTTTTAAAATGTCATCACAAATACTCCGTGGTTCCTTTAATCTATAATACAACTCCTCTTCTATCGCTTGGGAAATCACAATACACGGAACAGAACTATAAATTAAACAAACTTCGTTAAATACATATTGACATTACACCGCTTAAGTTTCGAATATAAATTATATAATAATGTACAGTACGTTTTTTTTTTTAATTGGTCAAATTATCTATGACGATATTTAAATATAGCAAATCACACGAAGTAAAGCATATAAAGAAAGAGTTTGTGTTTGTGTTTCTATGACGTAAGACTTGTGCATTTAACAAGATGTTGGGTTTATTTTCAGATTAATTAATTTTCTTTGTAGATTCTTCTTATTAAAGAATTAAAATAGTTTTATAATTATGTTATACGATGAATTTTTTCGATTTTATTTTCCCGGCTATTATTATAACTTATATAACAAATTGAAATTATGGCAATTCGTCAAGAAATCTTTACATTTTTTTTTTGACACGGGCGATCTTTGAAATGTCGAGAAATGTAAAAAAAAAGTTGGGGTTTTTTTCGTATGCATGGATATTAGCGTAAGTGTGTGAGGGCAAGATTTTTTTTTTTCCAACTTTGAAGCTTAATAAATCCCGTGCCTATAGTCAAAAATTTTTGAAATTTTGTACAGATGTTTGGGTATTAGAGGAAAATTTTTCTAGAAATTTTCAAAAAAATCCGATTATTGGTTCGTGAGATATGGCTCCATCCCTTAATATCTCCCGAACCAATCTGAAGACATATTAAGGTAATGGTAGCAATTATTAAGGATGAAAACAAGTAAAGAATGCCGTGAAAGTCTAGCAACAACGTTACCAGGCTTTTTAGAACAGATAAGAAGGGAAAAAATCACGATAATTCATATTTATTCCACTGCTATTTAGGACTACTGTATTTACATATAAAACTGCATGATTTATAAAAATTTAATGGTTGTAAGCTTTTAAAAGAAAAAAAAAACTCGTTTAGTTTTAACAGAAACGTGATTTAATCGTAATTTAATAAATGAAATTTATGGCAATGAGATAATATCTACGACGATTTTATATAGCCGACATTTTATTTCTTTACATTTTTTCCCCCTTGTTAACAAATGTAAGTTAAAAATCAATACTGTAATTAATTTCTTCGTATTAAGCGAATATTTTTTAAATAAAANATATATTTTTTTTCTCTTTTATATTGTAAGTTATAATTAATTTTTAAAAATTTATTAATAAATATAATCAAGTTTGCAACACTGCACTTCTACACTCTTCCACATTAAGAGCTTTTGTAAATATTATACATTATGGTACATATCTCCCAAATTAATAGTCCGATTTTCCTGAAAATTTCTAGAAAAATTTCCATCTAATACACAAATCTCGTTGCAAAATTTCATAAAATTTCGACAAAAAGAACAGAAGTTATTAAGCTTCAAATATTGCTCCCCCCCAAAAAAAACATCTCAAATTTTTTGCATTTCTCGACGTTTCAATATCCTCCGAGTCCAAAAATGTAAAAAAATCCGGGGTGTTATATGTTTCCTCTATTATATAACAGCTAGAAAAGTAATATATAAGAGTATATGTGTGGTAGGGAAGACAAAACATATGGTTTTTGTTTATAAAGATACAGCGTGTATGCTCATCAAAGTGGTAAATGTACAGTACAGTGTACTTCAATAACGGTCATTATCGTAATGGATTCCGTTCCTTTATTGTTACATCCTCGTTTTGTTAATTTTTCCATGTATTGTATGCATTTCGATAATTAAAAATAAACGTTAAACTTCGAAGTTGTTCCATCAGAACAAAGAAAAATATCTTTTACTTCTCGACATCTCATTATGCGAATAATTTAAGTGTGATTAATAATTCCATCCCAGTCATTTACTTAAAAATTTAATCTTTAATTTTTATTCTTTTATTCATTCTAAAACTCTTGTAAAATTTAACAATTGGATTAATTTCACTCAATTTTTTTTCCTTATTCAAAAACTTTCAAACTGTAGTAAATAAAATTACAATTATATTTATTCTATTGTATTATTTAAATAGAATCCAAAGTAATAGAATGAACCATTTAATAATATATTACAGAAGGAAAATAGAGGAAACATATAAATATTTGAAGGGGGAGGCTTTATAGATTGATTCGGCGAATCGTTTGCATGAAAGACAATTTAAATATATATTCTACACGTGAATCATTGTGAAGATTTATAACAAGGGCGTTCTTTCACAATGGTTTTCCTGGGCTGCGACGTAGAAAACAAATGCCAAATGCATCTCGACTCGTGTTAATCTCTTATAATTGACCGATAGTATTATTGACAATATCGATTTATTTCTTCGTTCAATCAAATTAATAGAAATTGTATATATTGTTTGTTTGCACTCTTACGTATACTACGAATCATTTACACTTCTAATCTTTTAAGAACGATTTTTTCTGTCTATTCAATTATTTAATGTTATAGTCTATCTTATATACTGTACTGTTGTTTAACTATTGATCTCCTGTTTATTGTATTTTAAAAAAATGTTTTTTTTGTTTTTCCTTCGAAATAAATATAATAAAAGTCTTGTTTAGAACCGAACTTTCGTAATTATCTATTTTCGTGTAATAAGCGAAGTGTAAAGTCAAATGATTATTATTATTACTGTTATTACTTTCCGGGTTATTGTATGCGAACAATAGACAGATATAACACAGAATGTATTGCTCGATCCCATTGTTAAGACGGATATTGTTCAACGATTGATTCATTCTGTCTTTTGAACACGGATCGATCGATAACGAAACTTTTGAATAATAATTTTCTGGCAATAAATTAATATTTCCTCATAATTTAAATGTATAAATAAACGAAATACGCTACTCAAAATGAATTATTTATTTATCGAAATTATCAAAAATTTTTAAATTAAAAAAAAAAAAAAAAACATAAATTGTTGTCTGTCGTACGGTTGCTATGACAACCTTACTGATGTAACATCACGTGATAGTAAATTTTTTTACATACAAAATTTTAATAAAATTTTAAAATCCGTAATAATAATAATAATAATAATAATACTTATTTAAACACAATCGTCGATAATTTTATACACAAAATTAAATTAATTAATAGACGTTTGATTAAAATTAAATTTATTTAAATTATAAAGAAATCATCATGGCACCAACCGACGTCACGTGACAAACCGCAATCACGTGACGTAGCATTTAAACGATACGAAACGAAATAAAAATCGTTGGCATTTAAACGACAATTGTTTTAATTATTTTCAATTATTAAACGGATCGAATCGATAAAGAGAGAGACAGAAAGCCACGGTGGAAATTAATAATAGAAAAAAAAATACGTCATTTTAAACGCGAGGTGGGAAATTAAATACGTGACGTGACGTATGACGTGGATAAATAAATAAATTTTAATTTTACCAATAAATCGTAGAAGTTTCGAAACTTGGAAGCGACCTTGAAGACAACCCGGAGGCATTGTAAAAGGGGGCATGCGCAATGTCCTTCTTGTACTCGATCCTTCCTCTATCCTATACAAGATGGTCGAAGGAGACGTGAGTAGTGTCGTTACGTTGTCTGCCTTTTCCGATAGGAAAAGTCGCCCGACCTATTATTGATTTCATTCCGCTTTAAAGCTCCGTATTTATTTATTTATTTATTTTTTATCCCCCTCTCCCCGAAGTGAAAAAGAAATAATGTAATCCCCCCGTGTCAGCTATGTTGCATTTTGTACGACGACCGAAGCTGTGTTATTTGATTTTGTCCACTCTCGTCTTGTTCGGAGTGGTTGTGTTATTTTACAGTAGCCAGACTATAAATCTGACAAAAAGGACTTCGATCGCCGTTTCTACAGAAATCGTTAAATTCGATTTAAAAGATGGAACAATCGGAAAAGAGAAGATTTTCTCGTCTAAACCGTCGCATTGTCATCGGTCGAGTCTATTGTCCTCGGTTGACATCTCTACCGCCGATCTCTACCCCAAACTGAATTTCCATCCACGATCCAGGACTTATTGGAATTATACATTCGAGAAAAGATATTTAAAGACCAAGGATCAATGGAGCAAGCTACCACTCAAGGTGAGCATCGTTCTGGTGTTCTGCTTAAAAAAAACCCCCATAAATACTTATAAACGTTAAAAATAAATCGATTTTGTTAACATTATTTTTCGTTTGTGTGTCGGAAAATATTATCTAATTGTTATTCTTACGGTAAAACTGGATAGAAAAAAAAGACAATAAAAATTTCGTCCGAATCCATTGTTAATTACATTTTAAGTAATGACGAATTTTATTGTATTTAATCTCGAAATATCCCAATTATTATTTTTATTTTCGCTAATTTCGACTCTTAACACGTGTTTTTTTCTAAGACCAGAGGGGAAGAAGTAACGAGCAAACAATACCTTCTTTTATTCTTTTTTTTAACGTTACAACACAATAGAATTTGTAAATAAACCTAAATCAGATGGTGAATATTTAAGAAAAAAAAACACCCCGGATGCCGCTGTTTGTTTTCTGTTTGGTTGCTCGTCTGAAACTTGGAAGAACAAAAGATTCGCCTTGTTTGTGTCCAGTTACTCGACCCCTTCTTCGGTTAAATAACCTTATTGGAAAATTTAAATTTTTTTCCGAGTGATAACCTAGATTTGTTTTAAAAATTGTCTATTTGTTAGCGGCTGTAAACTTCAATCTGGATCTAGATTGAGCCGAAGATAAAGATTTAACACCGGGTCACTGTATACGCATCAAAGACTTAACAAAAGGAATTAATTTGCAAAAATTGTTTCTTTTTCATTTCCATTTTTTTTTTATATCGATTCGGCAGCCATTTTAGTTGTACATTTGCCAATTTATACTTATTTATGTGAGAAATTCTGCAGTGTGTAGTCGATAAAGCCGTTTTAAAATTTAAGTAGTTCGTGCAGGAACTTAAAAATAATAGTCAATTAAAATACTCCCCCGTTGTAATTTATTTTTAAACGAATTTATTATTTGACTTGTTCTGATTTCCTGCTGATATTACAAAAATAGCTGTGAGAATCGTCTCATCCCACTCTTATTATTCTTTTTTTTCTGAATTATTTCCTCAGGTGATAGTCGTTCCTCATTCTCACAACGATCCGGGTTGGTTGTTGACCTTCGACGATTATTTCTACACCTACACGGCGCGAATATTGAACAATATGGTGGAAAAACTCAACCTTCATTCGGATTTAAGTTTCGTCTGGACCGAAATCTCTTTTTTCTCCAAATGGTGGACCAGGTAATACTCCCTGCCAGGCAATTAATGTAACTTTTTTTTAAAGTTGAACTCGTCTAATTGAATTTTTTTGCCTTCTTTTCTAGTCTGAAGAATAGACCTCATTTGAGAGATGCCGTGAAAGAACTTGTCACTAACGGACAATTAGAGATGGTGACGGGTGGATGGGTAATGACGGACGAAGCTTCCTCCAGTTACTACGCCATGATCGATCAGCTAATTGAAGGACACAATTGGCTAAAGACCACGCTAAACATCGAACCCTCCCACGCTTGGTCCGTAGATCCCTTCGGGCATTCTTCCACTTTCGCTTACATCCTGAAATCTTCTGGAATTCACAATATGCTTATTCAGAGGACTCATTACGCCTGGAAGCAATATCTAGCGGAGCAGAAGCAATTGAATTTTTGGTGGAAGCAGTCTTTCGAAGGGATTAATTCTTCCAAGATTTTATGCCAGATGGCACCCTTCGATCTGTATAATATCAAATACACTTGCGGGCCCGATACCGAGGTGTGTCTTCAGTTCGATTTTAGAAGGATTGCTGGAGAATATACAGACAGCCGTTCGGTACCGATAACCAATCAAAATGTGGAAGAGAAAGCGGAGTTGCTGTTATCTCAGTACGGTAGGACGGCGTCACTGTTCCATCACAATGTAGCTCTGGTCAAACTGGGCGACGATTTTAGATACAAGCACGAGGCCGAATGGGACCAGCAATATAACAATTACAAGAAACTTTTCCAGTACATTAATTCCAGGAAGGACTGGAATGCAGAAGTGCGTTTCGGGACAGTCAGGGATTACTTCGACCAAGTGCATCGCCGGATGAAGGACATCAACGGAGATTCTTATCCTACTTTAGTAGGGGACTTTTTCGCTTACAGCGACATCTACGCCACGGGAAAGGCAGCCTACTGGACCGGATACTTCACCACCAGACCCTACTGGAAGCAATTATGCCGCGAATTAGAGTACTGGCTGCGCAATGCCGAAATTATATACAGTCTGAGCCGCGTGGTACTGAGACACGGCAATCATTCCGGTGTGGTTCGGAAATTAGACGAAGACTACAATGCACTAGGAGCGGCTAGAGACAGCTTGGCGCTATTCCAGCATCACGACGCTATCACCGGGACCTCCAAAGAAGCGGTGATGCACGATTACGGCATGCGCCTCTTTCATGGAATTCAGCAATCGATCACGCTGCTCTCTTATTGCTCGCAGTACGTCCTCTTAAAAATACCAAAAACCATTTACCACCGCTCCTTTCCTTATCTGGTAGTAGATTTCACTAAACCCACTTACGATGTCCTCGATAACAAAAGTATTCTAAAAATGTCTAGGGAGGGAATTAAAAAAGTGGTCGTCTTCAATTCTTTGGCTCGACGAAGCCAGCAGGCCGTCAGAGTTCGGATTGGCACGCCTTACGTAGCCGTTTACGATTCTATGGACCGTAAAGTATCGTTCCAGATTAATCCCATCTGGAACGACACCATAGAAATCTTAAGCGATGCCTTCGAAGTGATATTCGTGGCCGATCTCCCTCCTCTGTCCTTAGAGACTTTTGTCCTCAGGGCGATCGATCGCATGATTGCTAATAAGTCTTCTATTAACGTCATCATGAACGATGCCAAAGCAGCGAAAACGGACGATAACATTTTTACATTCCATAATTTAATCGAGGAGAACATAATTCTGGAATCTCCTCACATCTCCGCAACCTTTTCTAGATTTACGGGTTTCCTGCAAAGTATCAAACTCAAGAGGTTGTTCACTAGCAACCAAGCTAAAATGTCGTTCCAAGCTTACAGGTCGGAAGAGTTCAGCAGCGGGGCCTATCTGTTTCAACCCAGTTTCCTTCAACCCCTCAGAAACATAACGGGGCGGTTTCCCATCATCCGCATAGTACGGGGTTTAATACTAAACGAAATAAGTGTAGTGTACTCCAAGCTACTGACTATCAAATTTCGTCTCTATCAGACTCTAGGACCACTGGGAGCGGGTCTAGAAGTGGTGGCCCAACACGACATGACTCGACCGGAAACTACAAATAACGAAATGTTCATGAAGATAAAAACTGATATCGATAACGGCAACACGTTCTTTACAGACCAGAACGGTTTCCAGATGGTCAGGAGGATGTTCCACTCCCATTTACCTATTCAGGCTAATTACTACCCCATCACTTCCGCCATGTTTATAGAAGACGGCAAGTCGCGTTTGACTTTCCTCACCACGCACGGTCACGGAGCGACTAGTCCCAAGAGTGGCACCCTAGAAGTCATGATCGATAGAAGGATTCAGACCGACGACGGAAGAGGAATGGGCGAAGGTCTAATGGACAATAAGAGGACCATTTCTCGTTTCTGGATTCTACTAGAAAGAAAGGTCAAACCGGAAGAGAGCGAAGTACCGAATTTGAGCCGTTTAGGTCACACTTTATCATCCGTCCTCAATTATCCCGCTGTCATTCTAGATGTCAACAATAGAATGGAGCATCTATTCAAACCCAGTGTGAGTTTCCTGCAAGCCAGCTATCCCTGCGACACTCATCTCGTCAACTTGAGGACTTTACCCTTACACGAAAATTTCTATCAGCCATCCAATTCCAGTTTACTCATACTCCACAACAAGAATCGCGCTTGCAGCTTAGTGGAGACCACTCCAATCACGTGTTCAGACTCACCCGAAATCGACCCCTTCCGCCATCTTGGTGTTCGTAACGTACATTCCACCAAACTCACCGGGTTGGGCGACAAAGTGCGAATCGATAAACACAACGTAACGGTAGCCCCGATGGAAATAGCCACGTACAAAGTGGACTTTCCCTGAAAAACAATAGCAAGCCACCATTTTTTTAGTTCGTTATTCAAATTTTACATTTTCCATCGCATTCTTTACTTAAAAAAAACAAAACAATATGGATCTCGGATTACCTTAAAGAAGTTCATGCCTTTACCGGAAATGGAAAACAGCACGTGCGTATGGGATTTTTGAAGTATACCTCATCTAAATCTTTATTGTTGGTTATGAAAAAAAAAATAAAAATATAGTTTTATTTTATCATAATTTTAAGTATTTATTACTCGACTATTTAGAGTGTATAATTTTGTAATTATATTTTGAATAAATCGTTGGAAATAGAAGAAGATTCTTATCTTAATCTATTGTTTACGTCGTAGATGTCCGGATTTTTCCGGATGGATAAGAAAAATGTCTATTTATACACCGAGGATAAATAGATTTAGTTCGCTTCCTCCTTAAGATACGCAATGCGGGGGGGGGTTGGCAAGAGGGAAATAAAGGGGAGGGGATATAAAAATCTGCATTGCAAAAATTTCCAGCCGGCTATCGATTTCCGATTATCTTCGGAAAGGTATTTAAAAGTAGCCATCTCTTTAATCGATAAACTATAATTTAGTAGCGTATTGTTATTCGAAATTACCCTCCAGGATGCGATATAGAAAAAAAAAATGGGGTGATGGGTCAAATTTCGACTTCCCTTTATTGAATTTCTAAATGTTTTTGACACCCAACCGGCTCGGAATGTCGTGAGAAACACTACGAAATTGTGTGCGTGCTTGTGTATGTTGCATTGTCTCTAAAATTAGGGCTATTTCCGTGTTTAGGGAATCGACGGGGATTAATTAAATTTTGGTAGTTAAAGGTCGAGGGGAGATAGGAAGTCACGTGCTATATCTCTAGGGTGTGGGCGTTATTGGCATTTACAATTAAAAAACTCATTCCTACCCCCGAAAATAACGTTTTTTTTTGTAATAGTTAATATAAAATGTTTTTAATTTTACCGACGGAAAGTACATGAAATAACGGAAATTAACATGAATTTTACTTGGAATTTTGATAAAAGCGTATTGTCGTTCTTCCTTTCGTTTATTAAAAATTTTAAATTTCACCCTGAATAAATAATAGATTCCGGGTCACTATTTAAGTACGGGAGAAGGAAATAATCGATAAAAACATGACGGAAACTTGTGCAGAAATACAACGAGGACGTGTTACACGTCATCTAGTTTAAACTTTTTTTTTTATTGTTATTTAAAATTATGAAACTTCAAACTAAGGTCTAGACACGGAATGGAACGAGATATCACGCCCGAATAATAATAAAATGGAACGAGTTCGATACTGCACGCAGGCACTTAAACGGGGGCGCAAAAAAAGAGCGAATTGCCTTGACCTCAAAGAAGTAGGGCTCCTATACTATGTGTTTACTTCCTTTAATACAGTGGTTTCCAAACTTTCTGCACCTCCGACTCCCTTTTTCAGAATGGGGAAAACACTGCTTTAATATAATAATTTGCTGTAGGGACCCCCCGTGTGTATTTTGTCTCGGGTCCCGTTACCTTCTGTTTCCTCCCTCCACACACACACACACCAATAACATTTTAAGTATTACGTCGATAAAAATATTACAACTACCGAGAAATAAACGATTATCGAAGTCAAGGTCGAGTTAAAAAAAAATAACACCGCATAACTGCTTCCGCCATTATTAAACTTGCATTGTTGTTGTATACGGCACGCGAACACACGGTCCGTCTGCCTAGGATGGAGGGTCTTTCTATAGGAAACTGATCCCTGTTTAGGTGTTAGGAACGTACAAATCCGGAAAATAAGTGGCCAGCCTACGCGCGAACCCACGACCGACCAGTGTATTGTGTGGTGTTAATATTGAATATTTTGGTGGTTAAGAGATTTTTATTCCGCCTCATTTAAGCTTAAATAGGCTAAAACAAACGAGTTTTGTCCTATTAAAACCGAGTGAACTTTCATCGTGACTAATGCAACAATAAACTCCGATTATAATTACAAAAAAAATGACTTAAATGGGGCAAAATAATCTTTATTGCAATACACTTTCAACAAAATATACAAAAATTTTCTTTCGAAGCTTTCTTGGGCATTTGTGTATATATATTTATGTATAATATAACAAATAGATTTGATGCATTCATTGTCAATAATAATATATATATAAAGTGGACACTTAATAACTGAACAGGTGCAAATGCACATATACAAATAATAATAATAATAAAAATAAAGATAAAAAAAAATTAAAAAATTGTTTACATTTTATATTAAACGATACGTTACCGATACATAATTTGTATATATCCATCACCATTATACCCCTTATATATTGTAATACCAAAAAACACAGTATTTTTTTTTTCTCTTGGAATGTTTAATTATGAATACAATATGAAGCACGACAGCCTAAAGCTATTCAATTAAATTTTACACGTGAATTTTCTGTAAACAACACAAAACTTAAAAATTTCTTTTTTCCTCCCCCTATAACCTGCTGCAGTATGGGAAGTTTTATGGACGAAAAAACAATACTTAAAACGGGGAAAAAACGCTAATAAATGTATTTATTAAATATAAATAGAGGTTGGGAATCTCGAGCATTTTAAATTTCCCGATTTCGGGAACGATTTTTCTTTTGTATATTTTGAAATGTTTTCCGGGAAATCCGGGATCGTGAGAAAACAAAGTAACTTTTTTTTTTTTTGTGTGTGTGTGTGTGTGTGTGTTGAAATGCAATTTCGCAAAAATCTTCAGATTTTAATTACTTGCATTCTATCAAAGAAATAATAATAAGTACACAAGTACAGTACATAAATCTCGAGCCTTAACAAAATTAAATAATAAATGACTCAATCCCATCCATTACAGAATGTCATTATAAAAATATATACTATATATATATATATATAGGCCTATATATATCGATTTTTTTTAAAGTTTTATCAGAAAAATACCCCCATAGATGCACTCATGTTTTGCCACGATATACATTAAAATCGTTATAATAATAATAATAATAATTTTCTTAATTTTATATAGGATTTAGGCGTGTTATTGCATTGTTTTTGAAATTATGAAAAGTGTTAATATCGATCAAAGTTAAATAATATCTTAAATAATAATAAAAAAAAAAACGAATTAAACGTTGACATTGAACTTGTGTGTACACACACCAGAACAAGTAGCGCGTAACATTTGTTCAAGGTCAGCGTCGAAGGAAGATCGTAAGCACGGTTAGAACACCCGCTAGTAATAGGTAGACGTCGTTATTATTAAAACATTAACTTACGCAATGGGCAATCGATACGGAGTTGTACGTGTACCAAAATATGTTATTTTCTCTTTAATAATAATACTTGATACACACAATTTTCTTATTTTTTTGTATATAAAACGGGGACGAAATTTAAGATTATGTGACTTAAAAAAAAAAAAAATTAATTCCTTTCCCAAGATTCGGAACTTCAACTCTTGGTTCCCAACCTCTAAGTATTAACTACTCTAAAAAGAAACAACATTCAATTTTAAGCTAATTCTATATAAAGTTTATAAATATTTTTTTTTACAGTGAAACAATTTAATATAGATTTCCAAATCTGTTCGATTCGATACGTAATATTGAAATGTTTTCTTCTTTTTTTAAATATAAACTCGAACATTTAAATTTTTCCCCCTTCAAAACTGGCGGCGATTAAGAAGTTCGTGTGAAATTCAGTTATAAATTGGTCGGTGTTTTTATTTTATTTATTTATTGTTTTATTATCTGCAAATTCCAGAAAATTTCGGCTGGTTCTCTACCGTAAAAATCTACGAGGAAATTAAGAACCGAATGGCACACGGGACGAAGGGGAATTGCGAGAGAGAGAGAGAGAGAGAAAGAGAGAGAGAATTAGCCAAAATTCCCGGGAACGAAGCCCGTGTGTTTGTCACATTGTGCACCAAAATACAAATGGCACTCAAAAAAGTTTTTTTTTTTCTTGTCACGTCGATATCTGTACAAAATAATTTCAACATGGTGCACAATCCTACTTCTTAAGTACATGCATTACTATTATTACATCCATTATTTAAATACGGCACGAGAAAAAGTATTCTAATACTACATACTGGGATATCACAGGATACTACATTTATGCAAAAGGTGTTGTTGAATGGATCGTGTGTGTTTCAGATATGTGTTTTTAGAACATTCTGAAGCATTCGTGCGATTTAGTGCGACCAAATCGTCGGCGAGTCAAAGTATGTATTCGATGCTGCTCTGGAAACACAATATAACTGCCCGGTGATATGGATTGTTCGACGTCAACGAATTTCCCTTTTTTGTGGCAAACAAACAAACATAAAAAATTTACGTTAATAAATGCAAAGGGAATTCTGTCGCGTGTTGTTGTTTATTGTTGCACTGGATCAAAAGCCCAATGTTGGAATAAGTAGAAGTATGGCGTCAAAGATGATCAAAAATTTGGAAAAAATATGTATCCAATTACGAAAAAGGTGAGTTTTTTTGTGCAAAGATGTATGATAAATTTCTATGAAATGAGTACGTCCTCTTTAGGTCTCGATGGTGCAAGGAAAGTGCAATTTCTTTTTTTTTTGTTTTGTTTTGTTTTTTTTTTTATAGAGGTGCTCTTAAATATTACAAGCAGAAAACGAAACATAGGTAGATACTTAGAAATTAAGTACAGAATTATCCCATTCTAACTCCTTGCTTTTTACTTTCTCGTTTTCTTCCTCCTCCGAACTTTCGTCTTCATCGTGATAACTGCTTCCGTCGTCGGAGCTGTCGCTATCGTCGTTATCTTCCCGCGGAGCCGACTTTGTATTCTGCTGTTCAATCTGCTGTATAGACAATTAATAATTTAAAAAATTTAATAAACTAGAAATATTTATGAACCAATAACTTACATCCATTGGATTTACTGTAATAGTCAACGAGGAATCGTCCCATGCCATTTCTTGATCGTCGTCTCTAGTTTCTCGCGTACGCCGATGAGCGGCTCGGATACGAATTACGCCTAAGACGATCATGAACACCAGAAATCCCACACACACAACGATGATAATTGCCACGGCATGACCTAAGAAGTTTAAAGTTCAATAAAATTATGCATTGTGTGTATTAAGGCTGATTGCTACCTCTTTGGTTATGCATGAGATTTCCAGCGTTAACAATGCTTTTTCTGTGAAATATTTTGGAAATCAATTCGTGAATTTTCTACAAATTTTCTACGACTTTAAAAATTCGTAGAAAATTAACGAATCGGATTTCTAAAATTCTGAACCGTGCGTTAATAGAAGAATTAAATAGGAATCTAATGCAAAAAACTGTTTGATTCTATCTGCTTCGGTTCTCGAAAATTTTTGGAAAAGAGGATTTGCCCATAGAAAAAGCATTCAATTTTTAACGCCATTTGCTGGAGTTCGCTGCGTGACCGGAGGTTACAATCGGTCTTAAAGATTTCTAAATATCATTCCGCTTTTTTACTTACTTGCGGAAGTCTTTGCAATTATTTTCCCTCCGTCTAAATTGGTTTCTAGATAGTTTGCCGGCCTAATTTTGGCATCGCTTTGTTCAACTCTATGCTGATGAACTTGTGCATGAGCCTGTGACTGTTTCGAGTCGGAACTGTGACTAGGTTCTGATCGAGGATGAATTACAGTCAACTGGAAGGGAAGAAAAAATTACAACTATAAACAACTTTCTACGCTCATTTTTAAGATATTCAACCATAAAATCTAAAACACTTAAAATTTTCAATAAAGATTCTGCTATGAAGCTTGCATTGAATAAGCAGAAATTCAACAATTATTTGAAAGTAATCTATTTATCATTTTAGTAAATATTGAATTTATTTTTTACATTAAGTCAGACTTTGTTCATTATAAGCATGCCCAACTAACATGGAACTTATATATATATATATATATAAGATTTAATGAAAAGATTTTGAACTTAATAAATCATTTAATATCCTCATTATAAAACTGGCTTGTAAATAAACGATCCTCTTCACCATTTATTTATTATTTAAACAGGTGAGACAAGTGTCACTGTGGAAATCCAAAAGATCCAAGATAAAAAATTAAATTTTATTTTCGATTTTAAATTCTATTAACCTAAATTAAAATCGTCTTACTGAAAATAGTGATTTAGAAAAATAATCTGTTTTTCTGTTTTATTAAATTAAAATGCCTGAACTCCACGCAAGGATATTATTATTGTTATATTATATTATTTATTCAGGAAATGTTTGTATTTGATAAAATTTTCCTGTAAGTTTTTATACAGTATATTGAATTATTCAACCTTACAATTATATAAATGTTTCAGTTGATTGCTGAAATGACAAAATAAACAAAGTAATGTATAAGTTTATTTATTTATTAATTCGTTTAAATTATATAAAAATCAAAAACTAAATAAACTATTTTGTGATTTTTGATGATACAGTAGGTGCTCTATATTTTCTGGCAATCTGCAGTTGCAGATAATACATTTGCAATACCAGATATAAATGTATAAAAAATTTGGTTAGTGTTTGATAAGACACATGAAATATATTCAGAAAGTTATTAAATATACTTTTACATAAATACATGTAAATGTAATTATAATAAATCAAAACCTTCGCAACTTTTTACTTAAAAACTAACAAATATTTGTCAAATACCATAAAAGTTTTATATCTAACATATTATGCAGATAAAAACAAGACACACAAATATACATACAGTGGATTCAACACAGTGTCAATTTAGCTGTCCTTCCAGAGTTTACTACTGTCAAGAATCCACTGTACATGAGACATCTTGTAGTTATTTTATATATATTATAACTTTATATATATATATATACCCTCATATATATATGAGAGAGAAAAATAAATATAAAGTTACAATTGCCTCATTGAATAACACAAGACATTTGAGCAGAATAAATTTCTTAGATAGATAAAAATTTATTTGGAAAAACAATATAGATGAAAAATGTGTTACCAAATAAAATAATACAACTGAAAAGTGTTACCAGATAAACCAATATCATAAAAAAAGTAAAATATTTTATAGTCTACCAAGCATCAATTTTTAAACATTTGTTCTTATAGAATGCAGTACAATCTGTGGGATTGATTTTATTTGCTATTTTTAAACTTTTACCGGTTTGATGTAACATTAATAAAAATTTCCCCAACAAAATAATTGTAAAAATCAACAAATATTAGACTATACAATGAAAAGTCTTATTTTTCTGAGGTGTGAACAAGAATAAAGAAGTCTTACAGCAGAGTGAACCCTTTAATGGAGGCTGCTTCATCCACCTCATTATGCAAAACATAAAAAAGTATTTGTTAATTTTTACAATTATTTGTCCTGAAAATTTTTATCAAATGTATTATATATTTTTTAATTGTGCCATTACCAAAAGGAAGTAGTTTTTTTAATGTTTTGAATTATGATGATTCCACTTTTTCATGATCTTTCTTTGCATATCACTAATTACTGTTGATTTTCTTTTCAAGAATTTATATTCAAATACATTCTGTGTTAGCCAATTTTAAATTTTTATTGTCAAAAAACCCACACAAAATGGGTATGATAAATCAGGTTAAATCTACTTTTAGAATACTTTACTATAATCACAGATGGAACACATTTTGTATGTCAATGTCTGGTTGAAGATGATGATAGTAATAATGAAATTGATTAAAAATATATAATTATAATTCTAAAAAAATTTTTTTTTTAAATTAAAATTCAGAATATAGTCTTTGAGTAAACACTCAACTGGTACTGATTTCAAGGAATGAATTATAATTATAATCAGTTAATCAATAAAGATATTTATTTTACTTTTTCCTTTTTATCCAAATGAATTTCACCGACACTCTTTGGTCTCATCAGTTTATAAGAATATTTGATTTACATTGGCACTTTTATGCCATACCAAAGACTATATTCTGGATTTTAATCATCAGCCCTGCAATTTCTAGAAAGTACTGTTCTTTTCATTTGGTCAGATTCTGTTATTCTGTCATAATAAATCTAGATGTTTTTGTTAATTGAATGTTTTAATGTAAAATTTTTTGTTTAAGTGATTTTATATAATGTTACATGGTACAAATGTAAAAAATATTACAAATACAGTAAGAATTTTTAGATTGTTTGAATTATATCAAGTCTAAAGATTTGAAAAAAGAAATTTACAGATAAGGAATAGAAAATAAAAACTGTATTAAATCAAAGTCATTTTGATAGTTATCCTTATAAACCATAATGTACACTCTGTGGAAAAAATATAAAACATTATCAAAAATTCATAGTATTATGCAATAAAATATAAAATTACTATAGTTGCATAAATTTTACTTATTTTGAATGTACTTGACCTAACTGCCAAATTACTGCCAAAAACTTTTCAGTTTCAGTATTTTTCTACTTATCCAATTTTATAGAATACTGGAATTTTTTTTGGTTATTTACTGAATAATTTCTAATGTAGAATAAAACAAGTTATTTGAAAAATATCTAAGAAAATGGAGCACAAAAAAAACTAAAAATTTTATTTATTTATTTATTCATTAGATGCAAATAAATTATTTCATAATATTAGCACTGTCAAAGCACATTGATATTAGTTGCATTTCATTTTTTGCATGCTCCCCTGTTAATTAAGATGTTAGAATTTGTGTGTTAAGTTGTCAAAGTTTTGTACAGGTGATTTGTTTTACTATAGTCGAAAGTGTATATGTGGTTGTCATTTTATTGGATCGGAATGTCACCATCCCTACTGTGACCTCTGACAATTAACTGTGACATTCCAATCATATCTTCAGAAGGGAGTTGAGTTGGTGGACAGTATGTCATTAATTTCTCTATCATGTCTCTATCAATTTGTGTGTAAGAAACATATTTTACTTTAGTTTTCCAACATATTCAATTGCAACATACAAATTTATCTATCATCCATATTCAAATTTTCTTAAAACTTTTATTTATTTTTGTCATTTAGAAATAAGAAATAATAATTCACTTTGAATAACAATAATAATCCAAAATTGCAAATAAACAATAACCAAACACCTTTATCGTTGCTGAGAAAGTTTATTTAAAACAAACGTTTGACCTATTCCATAGGCCATTGTCAGATTGAAAATGGACAATTGAAAGATTTCGTTCCACACGATCAAATACAAATATTTAAATTTAAAAAAAAAAACTGGCAAAGGATTAAAAAATAATATACATGTAATGTATAAAAATATATATAATAAAAACAAAGAATAAAATAAAAATAAACTCAGAAATACTACTAAATATAAGTATCAACTAATACAATAAAACTAACG